TGCAGTAATGGAAGCTGTAGCCGCAGGGGACCTTTTCTGACTTGAAAATGCCGTCTTCATTTTTATTTATGCCCTGATCACTCTAAACCGATAACGTGCGGTAATTAAAAAACTAGCTGCTTTTTCGAATCCTTGAGAAATAGTCCCAATGACGTTTACCGACAAAAAGGCTCGTTTGTCGAAACACGAAGAAGCACTCCTCGTCGAACACCATATAATCCAAAAAACTCATTTGAAAAACTACACAACTTTTAAAAGTCCTGCAGATTCCTCTCCCTCTCTTCTCACATACACACAAACTGTAAACTTTTATGACACTGGCATAAATGTTACCGTGTGCACTTGGTCCTAAAAAATTAATTCTTCCCAGAATCAACATTTAGTTACAAGAATTTAAATTAGATTAGGTACGATTTTTAAATTCAACTAACAAGAAGAAAGTGACAAACCAAAAGGGAAAAATAGGTTCGATTAAAAGATTTGAACAATCTTTTAAGTTCAATTCGGAAGAAAATTAATTTAAAATTTAGAAGGGGAAACTTCAACAGATAATATATAATATTACGAAAATATTAAAATTTCTGCCAATTCTGCATAAACTTGCATATACCTGCGGTTTGGTGAAACCTTGAGATAAATTAACCTCCTGTAGTATAATAATGCCGTTCTTTAACCATTCATCGAGATAATAATTTTGAGAGATTTTTTTTTTTCTGTAACTATGGCGAAATCGGAGTTTTGCTTGATTGTTTTAGCTACGGGAGTGAGAATACATTATATTAATGAACAACCTGTACAAACTGAAGACAAGATTAACGACTCCAAGATATTGGTGGTCGTGACTTGCCGGGACTATTTAAACGAATGTTTGTTTCCTGCCTATTTTGCGTTCTTGCCATTCTGGTAGGACTCCTACCTAACAGCCCCCCGTAAGGATTTTTAGGCTCTTGGCGCCATTCAAAGGCCCACCACTTCCACCTTTATGATCCTCTTTCTAGTGCTAAAAATCCTTAGAAGCTACGGAGGAGACTATACCATTCACTGAATTTTAAAATCTAATTCTTCACTTTGGACAATTAGTATGGAGTATCTGGTATTCAGTCACAGTTACTCTGAGGATATCAAATTGAGACAAAAAACGAATAAAAAATGTTGCTTTGCAACACTTTTGATTCGTTTTTTGTCTCAATTTGATATCCTTGGAAAAGCTGTGAGTATTAGTATTTTTGATTTTTAATTACAAACTAAGTGGGATATAAATATCGTAAAAAGTGATAGTCTAGACAAGAATTATCTGACAAGATGCGATAGGATATAGTCGCTGAATTGCACGTATTTTGAAATCGAGAAGAGAATAATAGCATAAATAAAGAATAAGAGAAGGAGACCAAAGACTATCCATTTGGCAACTACATAGCCGTACATCATGGGAATATAAAAGCTTACCACTCGTTGCATGGAAGTATAATAGTGTATGGGTCACCTTAGCATCCATTACCCATATTCTGGCTACATTTTCTATAAAGGTTCCTCCTATATCCCTTGATAGGGACATTTCCTATTTTATTTTGTGAACAATTCCTTCGCAATACATGGAATTTAACGTTGTCCAGACACTAACAAATTGCAAGTTTTGGAAAATGCAGAAAAATTTACTGCTGATGACACGCCATTTTAAAGCCGACAAAGTATTTCCCTGTGAACAAAAAGAAAAAAAATTTCCAATACCATTCTCATTTTCTCACTCACTCTATCACCCCCAGGAAAATTTAACACCAAATTATGAAAAGCACAACTTCCGTTTTCTTTTATTTCATCGACATAAGTGACTCTATTTCGACAAAGAATTTAGAAAAAAGGCGGAAGGAATAAGAGAAAAAAAAAATCCTCGGAAAACCAAAAACCACGCCTGGTTAGACCAGTGGTGGACCCTGAAATTTTCCAGGGGGTTTGTTGGCTTTTTTTCTTCTTTCATTCGCAAAACTGTGCGGGTCTCCATCGACAAAGAAAGCAGGCAGTGGCGCTATAAATTTCAGAGGCGCAATTTCTCCACGCGTCGTCAGGGTCTGTGGTTGACATTTTTGTAAACACACATACACTGAAATTTGAGGCTAAATCAGAAGGATGGCAAATAGCTGCAAAGAAATGAGAGAGAGAGAGAGAGAAGGAGAGCGAAAGCGCGTAGCAGTAGTTTCAAGCAAGAGGGAAAAAAAGTACAATACACCGAAAAATAGAAGAAAGAGAGAAGTCTTGGAGTGAAAGAGGAAGGGAAAAAGTTATGTGACACGAAGGGGGCAGGTGGGATGGAATAGCGAGCGCCGGCTCATACATACTCCATTCAAAGGAAATTTATGTACCAGAAGCATAAAGCCACTATGCCGCAACTCAGCCTAAACCGCCCAAAAGCAACACAAGCCACCGAATTCAAAAATGTCCAGAAAGGTAACTTACAAATGCAATATACCATACATCGAGTATCGGGAATCTATTTTTTTTTCTTGCTACTCAAAACTTTTCTCGTTACTTCAATATACTCAACCGACTCTTTTCTTCTAAAAAAAAGAAGTTTCTCGATGCTACAAGAATTTCCTCTTAAAAAAATTACAAAAGTGTGTGACAAATTCTGTTTTCCGTTTGTATTTAAATAGGTGCCATAATCAGAATCTGATTCTTTAATTTTAACTTTACTAGTAGACTTAGCTAGTACCGAACGTAAAGTGACTTTTTTTTTACCGATGTCGCACAAAGAAACTTTTCTTTATTAACCGTCTAAACAGAAGTCTATAGCATTATAGTGACAGTATAATGATATAATAAAGTGACAGTTTAATAATTCTGAACCTGAGGTTTACATCCGTAATTCGGAAAACACACTTCTTTTAGGAGTTTCACCAACTCCGATTAAAAAGTAATCGATGATTAAAGTCAATTTAACTGCTTATGATTGGTCGGTTAAGGATTTAATCTTGATTAATTTTTAATCAGAGTTGGTGAAACTGGCCCTTAGTCCAGTTGAAAAAGTGCTTCGTTTCTTTTTTTCGTAACAAACACATCATAAATTAGATTAACTCCATTACTGTTAATAGTCTTTTTAAAGGCACGCTTACGTTCAGTTAATCTTTAACTTCGCTATAACAATAATAAGCAAGTCATCGTCTACTTGTGATAATTAATAGTGCCCGAGTGTAACAAGTTTTAAGGGGGTACACGCCTGAAGTCTATGGATCGCTTCTCTGAGTGATTGATTGGACAATGTCTCGTATCGGATAACGATATATACGTGACGATGCCGACGGCAAGAACAAGTCGAATAAAAGCAACGTTTTTAACCCATTGCTCTCTCCCCCTCTCTCTTTCTCTCTTCTCGTAACATACACGATCTCGTATCGTTTCTCGTGCACCTTTGAGTATCATATTGCTTTTCTCGAAACTAGTATATCTCTCCATAAAATATTCTCTTTTCTAGAGAGAAAAACGTGTTATTTTTCAATGATTTACATTAGTTTCTCTACTATATACTTATGCTGGAATATATATCGTTTTTTCTCCACCAAGAAACTCGAGCATTATTCAAAAAAAAAGAGAGAAAGAAAAAAATTCCTCAAAATGTTTAAATTGAAATTTTTCATGGGTTTCACATTTGCACCCACTATGGGTGGGCTAAGTGCTAATTACGGGTTCAGTCTGTGCTATCCGATTGGCTGGGCGGGGAGATTCGTATCTGAGAATGAGTATCGGGTCCATTTGGTTATTGCATTAATAATGGATCGAAGGTAAAAATGTTAAAAATCGTTTGCTGTTAAATTGTAACAACTAAAAATGATTAATCATGACTCATTAAAAATTATGAAGCATAAACGCCCATCTAAATCAAAGTAAATTGAATTTAAACATTACTTCATTATTATATTCTTCTGCGCACACAGCTTTTCTAAGGATATGAAATTGAGACGAAAAACGAATTAAAACACTTCGCAACACTTTTGATTCGTTTTTTGTCTCAATTTGATATCCTTAGAAAGACTGTGCTTCTGTTTTGCAACTTTTACTATTTTTATGGAATTTTTGCTATGTTCGAATTTTATAAACAAGAGTTTCATTAATCTTATAAAAATCTGTAGCATCCTTAGCATTCTTCTTTAGTATCCCTAGTGTAATTAGTATAAATAAAAATAAATAGTATACTTAAAATACTTAATGGTGTAGTAAAGTATACTTAGCATCCTCAGTAATATCTCAAGTTAATTCGAAATAATTTTCAAAGTTCCTTCAATACAGAAGAACTAACACGCCCTGTTTTCAAAGTGTGACTCAAATCAATAAACGTCAAATTTTTTTTCACCTTGACTGTGTTAAGTATTTTGAGAAAGGCATTTTTGATGGTTGAACTTGTAAATGAAAAATGGTGTTTTGAGATAAAAGTGAAACAAAAAATTCAATAACAACAATGAAGTGTGTGTGTGTGCAGGAAGGGATTTTAAAATTCTCTCTCACCTTCTGTTTTAAAGAAGGCCGAAACAGAGGAAACAATACTAGAGACAAGGGATTATTATGATGAACGAAGAGTAGTCCCTCTGGAATATAATATTCACAATGAAAAAAATAATCCATTAGTGGCTCCTAGAAACGGATTCATTAATTTCAATATGAAATTAATGAACGCTTAACACATTAAACAGGAGAAATGAATTGTAAAATAAAACGATGGAGAAAACATTAAAATTCCTATATATGACATTAAATAATGAGGTTCTTTTTTTTATTATTTTTGTATGGACAATAAATACACGATATGGACTTTAAATATAGTTAAATATATTTTTTTTAACAATACAAGATGATTATAAGAATTCAATTCATGGATTTTTGAAATTATTGTTTGTAATTGAAATTATCAGAAATCAATATAAATTTCTTGTATTGTTAAAGACACTATGTTTCTTAATTTCTAAAAAGTTCTCTCTCACTAAAAAGTTTTTCGCTTTTTTTGTTTGTTACAGGGTGTGGCTAAAAATCTCCAGCCTCAACAACGGTGAGTGTGTTGATTTGAAAGTTGTTTGAATATATTTCTTAAAAAGTAGGATTTGAATTGAAATTGATGATTAACATGCGCGATGAAGTTGTTCAAATATTTTTATTTTCTCTCTACTTGTTTTAAAGAGTAGGTCGCTTATTTATGGGAACAATTCCACGAAACAAAAGATCCTGTATTTGGATTTTGTCCACTACTACAATATTCTTTTCTCTTCCTACGATTTAAATTTTATGCTATTCTTATACTAATATACAATATATATTTGTATTGTATATAGGTATGGGTACAATATATATAATATAATATAGGTTTATATATATTGCATCTTAGATACGTGAAGGTATATACAAATGCATATACGTATATATTAATATACTAGAATGAAAAATACAAATATTAAAAGTATATTGTTTTGCTATTACAGGTTCACGACTGCTATCCTCCTGCAGTCATTCCCTCAACTCAAGTACATCGTGGACTTGACAAATACCAGTCGTTATTATGACAAAAAGGTAAGATGCTTTTCTTATTATTATGCATGAATTTTATTTTCTTATTCGTATAGTTAAATTTTACAATATATCGATTTAGAATTCAGAAGGAAAATATTAAATCTTTAAAGTCCGAGTTAATTATTATATTGAAATTGTGGAAAAATAATAAGACGAATATACGATTGATGGACCAGTAACCAATTCTATCCACCGCGACGTTCCTCGATCTACATATTTTTTTGATGATATTAAAAAGATTTCTCTCTCCTTTTTTCATGATCAAATTCTTCATCTATCGTTTCTTCTTAGTCTTCTTTTTCGTTTTCTTCTTCTTCTTCTTCTTCTTTTCGTTTTACTCCATTTTTCTCGTGCCGCGGGGCCAACTCGATATCGCATCAGCTCGAGGTCATTTCAGACTTTATTAAGCATTTAAGTGGTAGGCGAGGAGCCCTGGTTAATTTGTGGCGGTTCGACACTGCGGCAAAGACCGTCGAGTGGACTAATGAACTTATTATTAGATTTCCAGAATAGTTTTTTTTTATATCATCGACCACGTTACGGTGCGGTTATCAAAGAAAGTTCGTCAGTATTTTATATTTTTTCTTCTTCTCCTTTTGAAACAAAATTTTGTCAATGATTTTGTTATAACATTTTCCATTTTTTGTATCATTTTATTCATAATTTTGAATTGTGAATTTTTTATTTCGTTCAAAATTTTAACTATAATATGTTTTAAAATAACGTACAGTTGTTAGAGAAGAGATAAAGTTATTTATCATTGAAAATATAACATTTTGGGTTAAAATTACAATTACAATCAGTTGGTAAAAGGTTAAAGTTAAATGGTAAAATACAAGTTAGTATTTTGGGTTAAAATTACTAAACAGATGGTAAAAGAAATTCTAAGTTTTATCACTGAAATTATACTATTTGGGTTGAAATTACAAAACGGTAAAAAAGTATATACAAATTTAGATTAAAACGGAATGAGAAAAATTTTTTTCTCCAGGCTATGTCTTTTTTGATGGAGTCATTCATCTCTTCTTTGGACTTAATCTTTCTCCATTATGTCATTTTGATACCTTAGGGTCGCGAGTGATTCATAATTTGAAGAAAAAGAAGGTTATATCTATACCGTTATTTTCATGTTTCGATACGAAAGTCGTTTTAACATGTAAAAATCCTTGTACAATTAATACAGGGTACAAATTTATTATCTCGATGCATGATAATTTGGGTTGACTGTCCTAATTGGAGTATTATTTCTTAATGACACTGCTATACGTGATGATTCCTTAATTTTTTTATACATGTATAGACACGTGATGAACAGTTTATGTAACTGAAAATTAAGATTTAGTGCTACATTATAGTGTGAATGATTTTTTTTTTTTTTTTTTGAAAAATGTTACTATCATTAGGATCAAAAATGTTCACAATGTGCTTTTATGTCTGTTAATATATTCTCTTTTGCTGTTTTATATACAAATACCGTTTTGTCATTAATTTGCCTTTTCTTCAGTTATTGTTGAATTTTTCCATTATGAACATATTCTTGTAATATTTCCATTATGGAATTGTTATTAGTTTGGGGTTATTTTAGTTATTTCAAAGGCTATTCAAGTATATTTCAGTGATTTCTTTTTTTATATCTTGTCTTTGAAAATTTGATTAAAATTAAATTTGATTTGACGCACTCCGAAGAACGGTTTCTAAGGAGCAAAAAATTTTAGGTTAACCTAAAAATATTAATTAAATTGTTATTTATCAAATATTTTTACATGATCTTCTTCCGTTTGTAAATTGTATTTAAAATTGTTTGCTTCAGGATTTCATCGACGCTGGAGTTAAATATGAAAAAGTCATGGTTCCTGGAATACAAGTGCCTCCGATGGACGTTGTAAAAAAGTGAGTAATACAAAGTAATATTTTTATGTCGAAATTGTAGTACGATGTGTAAACAAGATGAGTTGTAGTAAATGTAAACAAAATTTGAATCGCCAAGTGCGATGATGATAGTGTGTAGCACAGTTGCATTGCCGTCGTTTGTATATCTGATGGTGGCATAGCGTGGGCACTGGGGCACCCTTTGGCGATCATTGAAGCGCACACCAGAAAAAACACGACGTGCAACTCTTGTAAACCGCCTATTTAGCTTTATGTCAATCGTATTTTACCATTTTTTCCCCGACATTTATGCAATTTTCTTTTTTTCTTAACTGTCATTTCAAATTAAATACAGAAAGAAGCTGTTGGTTTGAATTCTGCTTTGGAATTCGGTTAACCGAATAGAGAACTAGGTCCTCAATTAGTTCGCGCATAATCGAGGTGCACTGTAATTAATTAATTAATTGATTTCAATGTAGGGATAGAATTTCCAAGAATTCGCTGTTGGAGAATTAATCCTTTATTGGGGATCAATTTATGGGGAATAATTTGATTGACAGGAGTCGGTTAATTCAAGTAATGATTTAAATGACAATGAGCTGTTGACAGTTATTCTTGGCAAGTTGACAGCAATCGGGATTTAACCTTTAGATGGCGTTTGGTATCCGTACTCGAGAATGGACACACACATATTACGACCTCCCTCTCTTTTTCTTGTGTCTCGTATGCAAAACAGGTCTGCAGGCTGGCCAGCCAGCTAATTAACTGCAATAAACGTCCGATGATTTACATTTACAGAACGTTGGAGCACCGTTCGCACGCACCCCCTCTTCGTCGCCCTCGCTTCTCTCTTTCGCTGAACATGCATTTCCTCATCTTTGTTTCGTAAATCCATTAAAAACTGTATGTACATACTGTAGTGGTGATGATAATGATTCAAATAATCATGATAATAGTGATAGTAAAAGTAATTCCTACTTTCAGTCCGCACTTTTGACTAAGGGCCCTAAAACCGTTTAAAATTGTTCTAAACGTTCTTCTTGTGAAGGTTAAGAAACATTTTTGACTGAAAACCCTTGGGAGTATGATTTTTAAGAACTACGATCTACTTAACCTAGTTTTAGGTTTAAAAATACTTTCAATCCCTTCCAATCATTTTTGAGATTTAAACGATTGCAGATTTTGCTTTTGGACGTAATAATAATGATGATGATCGTAATAATCGTGGTAGTTGAGGTTGTGCCTTGGATGATAGAGAGAATGTGATCATCGCTGAAAATATTTAAATGCAGTAAAAAGATTAATACATTCAGCACACTTCCTCAGGTTCTAATTGAAGATTGAGAAAAATTACTGGTGTCTTCTTCACAACATTTACGAAATCTTGTACATATATCATCAAGTTCGTTAATTTAATCATCATCATCAATACTTGAAGAGCGATCTGTGCTTATTCCTCGGGGAAAAGAATTTCTTCGATAACTGTTGTCTGTATTTTATTTGATACTATCATTAAATTAATACATTGTATTAATTTGTGACGCTCTCCGAAGTAAGGTACCTTAGAAGAAAAAAATTTAGGTCATATTTGTATTTTTAGGAATGACTGAAGTTGTGGCTCAAAGTAAAATTTGGTTCCAAGTTAATTTTGGATCAAAGTAAAATTCGGTTCCAAGTTGAATTTTGATTTCTAGTTAATTTTGGATTTAAGTTAATTTGGTTCCAAGTTAATTTCGGATCAAAGTTAATTTGGTTCCAAGTTAATTTTGATCAAAGTAAAATTCGGTTCCAAGTTAATTTTGATTCCGAATTAATTTTGAATTAAAGTTAATTTGTTTCCAAGTTAATTTTGGATGCAATTTAATTTGGTTCCAAGTTAATTTTGATTCCGAGTTAATTTGATTTCAAATTAATTATGGTTCCAAGTTAGTTTCATTCCTAGCTAATTTTTATTCCTAGTTGATTTGATTTCAAGTTAATTTTAGATCAAAGTAAAATTGGGTTCCAAGTTAATTTTTGGATCAATGTAAAATTTAGATCCAAGTCCATTAAAGTCAAAACTGACACTATCAGCAACTAATAATACAATCGAATTAATAAAATCATTCCTCTCTTGAAATGAAATGCATCGAAATAATAAAATTACTCCTCGTTTAAAATGAAATACATCGGAATAATAAAATTATTTTTTGAAATGAAACGCATCGAAATAATAAAATTCTTCCTCCTCTTAAATGAAATGCTACCTTCCCTCCCTTGGAAGAATATATGTATAAAAGATTTTTAAAAAAAAATGTAGGATAACTGTCGGCACTGTTTTCCAAAGCTAATAATCAAGTCAAGTGGGAATTATTACTATTATCATTATCGAGAGTTTACTTGTTACCTGTACGGTCAATTCGAGAATAATAAACATAAACACCAATCGAATAGTTGGACACAAGTACCCGCATGAGTATCTTATTGAATGCTCATATTTATAAGCTAATTGATGGTCTGCGAAAGGGGTTTTCTGCGTGTATAGTATCAATATTGGCTGTTGTTTTGATCGTAAATGATGACCTTCACTGAATTGTGTTATACAAACTATTGCAATAAATAAAATCAAATAAAAATGAAAAAATTGCAGTAAAAAACAAATTTTTCATAATGAAACATGTTGTGCTATTAAAAAGTCTGTGTGTTTTTACTGAATTTTGGAGATTATTTTTTTATTACTTGGATTATGCAATTCAAAAGAGGAATAATTTTATTGGAACCGAACTTTATTTTGATCCAAAATTAACTTGGAACCGAACTTTATTTTGATCCAAAATTAACTTGGAACCGAACTTTATTTTGATCCAAAATTAACTTGGAACCGAATCTTACTTTGATCCAAAATTATATTGGAACCAATTTGTACTTTGATCCAAAATTATATTGGAACCAATTTGTACTTTGATCCAAAATTAACTTGAAATCAAATCAACTCGAAGGCAAAATAAACTTGGAACCAATTTTTACTTTGAGCCGAAATTAATTTGGGACTAAATTTTGCTATGATTCAAATTTCAAAATGATTGAAAAATAGCTTCTTCCAGACATAGAATGGATTTTCTAAACAAAATATAGAATGAATATTATGAAATGAAATCGAAATGTAAACGAATTGTATAAGAATTTGTTAAATCGACTTGGGCTTAAATATATGTACATTTGTTGTGGGGATTTTTATTATATAAAACGATGGACGCGTGCTCTGCTCTGGGGCCACACACGCTGTGATGTATTCAAATGAATCTCGCCGCTATAAACGCGTCCCTCGCAGTTTCATGCGTGTCAGTTGATGCGCCGCCGCGGCCGCCACTGCCGCATTAACGCCTCGTCTTGCACAATGAGCATTCGTGAGAACATGCTTATGGGTACTTGCCTGTGATTCACACGGTACTTTACTCCACAAAACCAATAACAATGACTGTGTTTGTCAAGTGGAAAAAAATTAATGTTTATTTCAAAATATCTCTTATTTCAAATTAAATTATTAACATTACAGGGAAAATAGGAATAAAGCAACTTTTACTGTACTTTCATAGTAAAATCTTAAGTGTCACTGTCGGGAAGTTTTACGTATTTTTGTTTGGTAACTTTTACTGTTTCCAGAGTAAATTTTACTGGATCCAGGGATCATAGTTATTAGTCTTCTTATACAATTTTATTTATTTATTCGAATTTAAGTATTATTTTTAATACATTTTTAATTAAATTTCTTTAAAGAATAAAATTATTTTCAAAAATTTTAATGAAATTCTTTTTCGTAACAATTCTATTTTTTTGAAAATAATTTCAATTAAATTCATTAAATCAAATTTTAAATTATTTTAAATCAAATTTTAATCAAATTATGCTTAAAAATTTACAAAAATTTTCGTCAAAATTTCAATTATCTTTAAAAATAATAAAAAATTTTCTCTGAAATTCAATTATTTTCAAAAATTTTAATGAAATTCTTTGCAGGATTTCAATTTTTTTAATACAATTTTCATCAAATTTCTCGAAAAATGCAAGTATTCTTGAAAATTTAATTAAAATTTGTCAAGAGAATTTAATTATTTAAAGTTGATAAAATTTTTCATGAAAATTCAATTTTAACTTAAGGAACATTCAATTATTCAACAAAATATTTATTTTTATAGTTAAATAATTGAATTCTCGTAAAATTCTTCAAAGGAATTCAATTATTTTTATATACTTAGTAAAATTTTTCGGTTGAATTCAATTATTTTAAATACAATTTGAATAAAATTTCTGGAAAGTATACAATTATTTTTAAAAATATTATTCAAATTCAATTATTTTCAAGAGTTTTAATGAAAATTCAATAATTTTTAACAATTTAGGTAAAGTTTTTTTTTAAAAAAGTTATTTTCAAAATTTTTAATAAAATTCCTTGAAAAAATTCCATTATTGTCAAAAATTCAGATAAAATTCTTCGAAAAAATTTAATTATTTTTATAAAATGTAAAATCCTCCTCAAGAATTCAATTATTTTCATAAATAATAAAAATTTTTCGCAAAAATTATTTTCATAAATGACAGAATTTCAATTATTTTTAATACGATTTTCATCAAATTTCTCCGTAAAATGCAATTGAAAATTTTATTAAAATTTGTCAAGAGAATTCAATTATTTAAAAATTTGTTGATAAAAGTCTTTATAAAAATTTAATTTTAAGAAACATTCAATTATTTAATAAAATATTTATTTTTGTATTTCATTAATTGAATTCTCGTGGATTTTTCTAGTAAATATTGATTTAAAAATGAATTTCACTTAAAATTTTAGATTATTATTGAATATTGAAAGCAATAAAGCGTAAATTTTTAGAAATAATTGAATTTTGAAAATGTTTCAAATTAAAATCTTTTAGAAAATTTCAACTTTTCATACTTTTAATTAACAATTCTGTAGATTTATTTTTTAAAAAAGTTTAATTGAATTTTTCTTTAATTCTTGAAGCTTTTATTTTCTAATATATATT